AAAAGCTTTTTTGCTTGAGGCGAGTTCGTGCTCTACACGCATAGGTGTTTTTTGGCGCGTCTGGAATTCTCGTCCTTCTTCTTGTGCGCGTAGGATTGGAGATTTCAGAAAAAAGAGGGCAAGCTTCTTCCAGGTGAGTCATCTCTGTTTCATTTTGAACAAGACACGTTTCATGAAGGAGGACACCTGGTTAATTTTTTCCTCTTTCCCAATGCATAGTAGTCGGACTGTTCCACCGCTCTCTTCCTTTTCCCCCAATGTCTTCTCCCTCTTCCTCATTTGATTCAACGATTCTCCATTCTCTCTTCCATTTTCTCTCTCAGCCCGTAAACCAAAAATCATCTAAAACCCCCCCTCCGTTCTTCACTGTCGATCAAACCAAGGTTGTCAGGTAATCTCTTTTTCTAGCATTCTCTATCTATTTGATTTTGCGTTCTCATTACTTTTTCTTTTTCTATTTGGAATCTGCAGGGTTGCGTTGTTGGTAGAACTTCGAGGTTTTATCATCAGTGGAGGTTCTGCATGCCCTCTCCTTCTACACCAGTGGTTTCTTTTCTCCAAGCCCTTAACATATGGTGTCGTTTTGGCTCATCCTTATCCAGAATCGAAGCATATTCACCATTCCACTGAATAGAATTATGTTTTCCAGACCGAGTCATCAGATTTCATCGCATCCACTGCCTTATCGGTCACTAATAGCTTAGTTGTTGTCTTCTACTGCTACTTGACCCACCTCAAAAATCTTTCCCTTCATCGGTTCTTCTTTCTCTCCATTGTCTTCCTCTTTCTCTATGAAAATGGGAAAACACCGACGAAAACTCCATGGAAATGTCTTGACGATTCGGGTAATTTTTGTTGAAGCTTCTCTCTTGTTTCTATTCTTGTCGGTAGTTCAATTTTCGAGTTTGATTATCTGAGTCTAATTTCTTTTGTTTTTTTTTTTTGATTTTGGAACTGAATAGTAGGTCAATAAATTCCACGGTCGATCTCACACAACGTTTGAAGCCCTGTTCCCTGACTTCCTTCATCAATTTTGTTTTCTTGAAAATTGAACGAGGCCTAATTTGTTGCAAATCACTTGAAAATTAGGTATTATTGTTCTATGAAGTTCTTTATGTTAATAATAGTATTTGTTCATTTTTATTAGGTTTGCGACTATCTCTGCCATCTCAAACTCTCTATGTTCTTCTATTTTTCCTTCTCATTCCAACGCCGACCGTTTAATCTTCTTTTCTGCTGTTCTCGACTGTTCAGGTTCAATAGCTTCTTCTCCCTCTTTCAGTTTTGACTTTTTGTGGGTCTTGTTGCTAATTATGTTCTATAGTTATATTAGATTATTGATGTTCCTTTCAGGTTCCATTTAACTTTCAATTTCATTGCTGGTCTTTCAAGATAGGGCTTCAAGTTTCTTTCCTTGTCCTTTTCATCTTGATTTTTTTAATTTTTTTGTCTGTTCTGGAGCTGATAGAAAGTGATGTTTTTCTACCTCAATTAACATATAAAAAGGGTTTTTTTTGCTTCAATTTCTATATAGAAGAACTATAGGAAATAGGGGAACAGAGAGACATATACAGGGATGGGGGTTAGGCGACAAGGAAGAAATGAAGCAAGAGACATGTAGTAATGTTCAACTTAAATGATTTAAAGGATTATGAAGGAGGAGATGTTAATACACATAGATAAGGAAGCCACTCCAAACCCAAGAGTTCATACATTAATTGAGTTGGAGAATTTGCAATAATTTTATAAGGGTAATTTATGATTTTTAAAGTCTCCATCTTTTGGTATTTCATGAAGATTATACTTTGTTTTCATTTTCTTGTTGGAAATTGGATTTCAATTTTCATTAAGCTTATAATATTTTGAATCAACTAATATTTAAGATTTATCTATATCTCTTTAGGCTCATGGTCTGGAGAATTTTGGTTAATCTTGTTCGATACTAGCTAGGGTGATAGAAGGCTTAAATGGAGTCCATATCTTTCTTAC